AAGGAAGGAAGGAAGGAAGGAAGGAAGGAAGGAAGGAAGGAAGGAAGAAAGGAAGAAAGGAAGAAAGGAAGAAAAGAAAGGAAGGAAGGAAGGAAAGAAAGAAAGGAAAAGAAAGGAAAGAAAGAAAGAAAGAAAGGGTCTCCCTCTACAGCATGCACCTGTTCACCCCCGGGTCAGTTTTTTATTTGGCAGTTCTGATATAGTAAGTTGTTACGCCAAGCACAGCCTGACCATTCACACCAAGAGAAGAGACTGTGTCTTAATTTCTTTTTCTTGATGTGATAAAATACTCTGACAGTCGCAGCTTACGGGAGAAAGAGCTTATTGTAGCCCCGTTCCACCATGCGGGGAGGTCAAGGAGGCAGGAGCTTTAGTGGCCGATCACATGATGCCCACAACCAGAAAAAGAGAGCAGTCGATACAGACAATATTGCTCAACTGGCTTTCTCCAATCTAAACCACCCAGGAGCCCCTGCCTAAGGAATGGTGCTGCCCTCAGTGGATGAATTTTTCCTGCTTTAACTCACACAATCGAGATAATCCCCAGGGACATTCTCAGAGGCCCGCCTTTCAGATGATTGTGGATTTTGTCACACTGACAACACTAAGCATCACAGACCAGGATTGTAGCTCAGAGGTAAGCACTTGGCCAGCATGTGCAATGGCCTGAAGCTAGGGGGGAAAAAAAGATAAAGGAATAGTATCCAAAATAAACTTAAAAAAATAAACTTTTTAACTGCAACAATAAGAAACTGCTCAAATTAAAAAAAAATGATCTGAGGAGTTATTCAGGTGGAAGTAACATTTATTGAATGAATAACTGAGTAAAGTTTACTAAAGCTAGTTCTCACCCCCAATTCTCAAGGACCTTGATAGGACAAAGAGCCAACGAGAGGAAGAGAGCCCTGTTCTTGGAGCTCTGGCCAAATGCCCTCTGTTAAGAACAGATGGTGTCGTCTCCATGACAATGATAAGGGCCAGAATTTGAAAGTGTTGATGGATCCCTCTCACATGAGAGTGCCCAGGACAACATCCAGACACCTCCTGAGGCTGGGAGCATGGGGGCTGACAGCTGACAGCTGACAGCTGACAGCTGAGTTCGGAAAGCAGCATTGACAGAACACCCTTGTACTGACTAGACGATGAAGGCAGGAGCCTGCAGTCTGATCCCCATGAACTGCCTCAGGAAGAGCCACAGCATGATAAGGTACAGGGAATGGATCTTTCCAGAGCCTGTGATAGAGAGCCATCCTGGAGGGGTCTAGCAAGCCAGGAGGCCCCACCGACCACACATTCACCTTGATCTCTCTAGGGTCGAATTCCTAGAACAGCAAACACGTCAGCCTGTCATAACACCGCCAGCTGTCCAAATGCAGAAAAGAGCATTGTCCCACCTGACAAGGGGCAGCACACTTGACTTTCAAGACCTTAAATGAGTTTTGCTGAAATAAATGTTCACCTTTGGGTTTGGTCCAAGTGTGTGAGGCTCTTGGTCCCAACAGTCTTTTCCTTTCTTTCTTTTAAAACAATATTAAAAGTGACTGAAAAGAGGGATTTAGAATGAATGGCATTATTCACCATGTCTTATAAAATGGAAGGGGTAAATGTTCTAATATTTCTTAGGGAAATGGATTTAAGGAAAATGAGATTTAGAGCCCAGGGCTATTTATTGCAATGTGACAGCAACATCTTTGTGGG